TCTTACAACAAGCTGTGTTCATGTGACTTTGTTCTTAACACAACTGGGGTTGCCATGAGGTTGTGTTCTTACGGTGGTGGGGTTGCCATATGGTTGTGTTCTTACACTGGTGGTTGCCATGAGGATGTGTTCTTACACTGGTAGGGTTGCCATATGGTTGTGTTCTTACACTGGTACGGTTGCCATATGGTTGTGTTTTTACACTGGTGGGGTTGCCATATGGTTGTGTTCTTACACTGGTGGGGTTGCCATATGGTTGTGTTCTTACACTGGTGGGGTTGCCATATGGTTGTGTTCTTACACTGGTGGGGTTGCCATATGGTTGTGTTCTTACACTGGTGGGGTTGCCATATGGTTGTGTTCTTACACTGGTGGGGTTGCCATGTGGTTGTGTTCTTACACTGGTGGGGTTGCCATGTGGTTGTGTTCATACACTGGTGGGGTTGCCATATGGTTGTGTTCTTACACTGGTGGGGTTGCCATATGGTTGTATTCTTACACTGGTGGGGTTGCCATGTGGTTGTGTTCTTACACTGGTGGGGTTGCCATATGGTTGTGTTCTTACACTGGTGGGGTTGCCATATGGTTGTGTTCTTGGAGTTTGCCCCACGTGGGTACAATGTGTGAAGCCCATTTCTGGTGTCCTCCGCCGTAATATTGCTGGAATATTGCTAAAAGCGGCGTAAAACTAAACTCACTCACCCACTCACTTGGAGTTTGGGTTGCACATTTCCTAAAGGCTACCTTATTGAGCAACAACACATAAGTTTTTGTATAAATCTTTTTTTAAATTCATGCCTATCACTAACTTCACCCAAGCCTACACATTCCTTGGAAAATTGAAACATGATTATTCATAATCTTAAATGAATAACCCTAAAATCTATTTACTTGCAGTCTTGACAAGATGTATGTCAGCATAATTCTTTTTATCGGTGTGTCCAAATCACACAGTTAAGCATACAACCCATTGATAATCTTTCCAAGTGCCCTGGGCTTCTGCATGTTCCACAAATTTTGAAGATATTGAACCTGCATGGAGTGATGACGCAGATGAGCAGACACTTACGTCAATGCTTGCACACACTTTATGCTTCATTCCAGTTCTACTCAGTTATTCCAAAATAATTTTTGCTACTTGAATGTCAAACGAAGATAGTTGTGGCAAAGTCCTCTTAGTGTGGCACATCGTTAAGAGCACTGTACATTTCCACAACCATATATAATGTCATCAAAGACTAAAAATACAATTGGAGCCTCGTCCCTGATTAATTATTTACAGTGAAGTTGGAATAGTTCCCATCCGTTGATGCAGAGATGGAGACAGACCTGGGGCTCTCTAACCTGTCACAGATTCTCACCTTGTTATAGGGACATTTCAACAAAAGCACATTGGGATAAATGCTAAAACAAGCTAACACCCGGTTCTTCCTGGACAAAATAGATATACAAACAATCTGAATATTTCTTTGAAAATTAAGAGTTACAGCTTAGTCAAGATACTGATGGGAATAATGCTTTAAAAAAACAAATAAACAGTACACAGAATACACCCCTAAATATTCATTAATACCAAAGACACAGCAGAAAAAACATGGCCGTCACAGTGGCCATGTTTAAAATTTAGATTGCATGAAATTATTGGTACTGACTGTTTGATTTAAAGAAAACAGCTGCAATAAAAGGATATAAAATGGAAATAAATGCCTGTCTGAAGGGTTACACAATGTAAACAAGTACAAGATGTGCCACTATCAATGGAATTAAGAGCATACAGATAGAAGAAACCTGATACAATTACCATATTCTATCTGAACTAAATGAATATTTTATACAGTCACCGCCAACCTGTGACCTTATTGTTCGCCATTAGCGATCTTAAAAGCAGTGAATTTTTAATGGACACTGCCTTTTTTCATAAATCAACAGCATGGACTCCTCAGAAAAATATTCAAGCGAAATATGACTTTCAACCAAAAGTTATTTCCAGCTCCGACCTCCAATAATCTTTCCCATAATCCATCAGGATTTCATCCATATCCCAGATTTCGAATTTGGTTTTGGTAAGGGAGTCACACCATCTGCATTTGTACTTGGTCTTGTATTTGGTAGGGAAGATATCCAATGCTTATGGAGGTATTGCTCATGTACTTTGAAAAGTCGAAATCAAGATGTTAAATCCATCCTACTCCCCTACTCACTCCAATTCTTACATACTTCAATCGAAGTATTAGCTTCCATCAGCAAAAAAGTTTTGCCCAGTTTGTGTGTACGCTTTCCATATTTCTACTGGGATATGGGTTAGTAATGTCTACATGATCAGGGCGAACACCAGTATCTCGACCATTATAGAAAATATGATTCTACAACTAACACAATATTAACTGACGAAATGAGAAACAACAACAAACCAGTATACAATACAACATTCCAGTTTACCTTCCTGTTGAAATTCATCCGCAAATATATCCACAATAAATGGAGCGTATTTACTCCATTCTTCCATCGTCGAAACTCCAACCTTCTACATTATATCATTCTTGGCTCCGGGCCAAAAACTTGAATGGAAATTACTTATTTCTTCCATAAATTTTATGACTACCCAAAGATCAAACTATCAATTCTATTTTTATATATCAGCAAGTGCCTTTGTATCTAGACAAACTGAGAAAAATCTTCATTGAGAAGACGGCAAGAATCGACCAATCTGGTCGTTGAGGACATCTCGCAACAACCTCACTCTTGTGCCCCCATACTGTATCTTAATCCAATCACTCCGGCCGTCTTCCTTTACACATTCGGTCGTTCCAGGCTCATAGTTCTCGCACACAATTTCCCAAATCTGTACCATTAGGTCTCTGGACCATTCCATCCCAACTGGGACAATCATCTTCGGATGTAGCCCATTAAAACTGGATTGCTTAGTTTCGATCTAAAGGTCCCATTTATGAAAGCAACCATTTAGCTGGGCTACACGCAAGTGATATCGGTCCCTCCCTCCGTTCCATTAAGTTGAGGAATTCTTAGCTTGCCGTTCGCGATCTCCGGCAGAGAATTTACGACAGAAAGTCAATACGAGAGTTGGTATTGATCGGGTCCGAACAGACTAGAACAGTTTCCTCTGCTCTATCTGCCACAGTCACTGCAAAGGGTGGCGTAAAATCCTAGTATCTGCATGGGTGGTTCACAATACAAACTTGATCACAGAGGCGGGATTACACGATGTATTTCAATCACAGACTGTAATGTACGAGTTCGGCTGTCAATCTCACTGTGGTCTTCCTTCCATGATGTGAGTGTCTCTCCGGCCCTAATTAACAGGAGTCAAGTGATGGCAATATGGTTTTAATTACCATCCACGCTAAGCCAGTCAGGCTCTTCCTTGTAGCAGGCAACAAGATTGCAGGGGCCTATTAGGCTTATTGAATAGGCTCAGCCTAAAACATCATCTTTGACATTCATGGGTGTTTGATTAGAGAAGATTTGGGCCATGATTCCACGCGTATTGATCTCCAGGGAGACGTTGGTCCACCAAGGGACCAAGCTCATACCTCAGCTGCTTCTAATGCCATATTTCCTTACTCAGGAGCTGAAGCTGAGCTGGTGACAGCTTTGTTGATTAAATGCTGGCAATTAGAGTTAAATAAACATAGCACTAGGACAAATGGGTTTACACACTTGGGAATGGATGGCGATGCAGGGAAATGTGGTTCTTTTGGTATTCAAGCTGATATCTTGATGACAGAAATAACATTCTTTAGGCCTTTTATCGCTGACATGGTATAAATTGTCATATAATACTACATTAATCATTTTTTGGACATTGTGTATATTATTAATGGAGTGTTTGTTCTTTAGTTCTTTCAGCATTTTCTTGTGATTCATTAATTAAATGTTGCATACTTGAGTAGTATTTTTTCATTTATTCAATACATTCTTCATAGAACCTGGAATTATTTGACTTAGAATTGTGGTAGGGTATAAATTATTATTACATCTTTTATGCTTTGCGAATACTCTTTTTACCCATTTCATATATTCTTTATAAACATTGTCTTTATTGACCTGGTATACATTGACAGGGTATAAATTGTTAATTAAGTCCATTTGAAAGAATGAAGCTCATTAATATTGCACCTATAGGCAACTTAGTATAAAAATTCTGTTCACGTGCTTCATGAGGAATTACATCAGAATACAAAGTCGGAAAAAGAAATTTAGTTGTTTTGATATTCATGCATACTTAGTGGTCTGTTAATGAGTTGACACAAATTGTCATACGATGTTACATTATTACTGGGAGGTGGGGTAGCCCAGTTGTTGAAGCATTCGTTCGTCATGTCGAAAAACGGGTTCAATTTCCCATATGGGCACAATCCCATTTCTGGTGTTCCGCCATGCTGGAATATTGCTAAAAGAGGCGTAAAATTAAACTCACACTCTACATTATTTTTGATAATGGATCACAATTTCTTTCATAAAATGAGGGTAAAAATGAATTAAACTGATCTATTCATCATATTTACAAATATTGTAACAAAAAGGAGTCTGTGGAACTGTGCTGCAGTTTCCAACACTGAGAACCATCTTTTGTTATATAACCGGATGACAGCTGTCTATATCAACACAAATGACACAGAGACTCTTTTACAACAATCAAAATTGTAAAACCTATTCCAAAACCAACATCAAAGCATCTCCAATGCAAAAGACTAGAAGAAATCCTTATGTAACCGACTCAAAATCCAAGCGATAACATTGTGCAAAAAACACCACTTCAGTAAAAAATAATTCCTTTTAACACTTCAAGACAAATGGCGCTCTCCTTGTCTAAAACCATGAAACACATTCCAGGGAATAAAACTCTATATTTGACCATTCCCGTTCACACAACATCATTTCATCAACATTTTTCTAAAAGAACTTTCTCATCCATTCGTAATTTCAAAAGTAGTTGAAAAAGGTCAACTATCTTTGTTCAATGATGTCCAACTACTCACTGCGATCGGAAGATTTAATGTGCAAAGTGCTTCCAGCCAGGTTGAATGTATCGCAGTTGATGGGGAGCGGCGTCTTGGAGTCGGCTACGAATACGTCCACTTTGGAACAATCCAGGTTCCGACGCTCTAGGATGGGATGGAGAGTATCTCTGGAAGAAGACCCAACGCCAGATAAGTGTCAACACAGTGTCAAACAAATGTCAATACTACAAGTCACTCATGTGGAAAGAATATTTTACATTTTTGTGTTTTACACGGGTTTGAATGTGTGTTTTAAGCCTATTCATTATCTGCTGGAGTATGTTTTGAAACGGCATTTTTTGTGGCTCATTGAATACTGATTGCATCTCTCTGAAATGAGCAGCAAAATCTAGAATGAGTGATCATTTAAGCAGATATTCCCACCAGAAGTAATCGGATATATTTCAAAAATCATTTGTATGACTTAATGATATCCAGTAAAAAAAAGGTCAAAATAGTTTGATGTTAAAAAAGACTGTTTGCATGTTAATAACTTCGGATAGCATTGTTAATTCTTAAAGGTCACATGCAACCAAAAAATCAAACATAATTAAAACACAATTATCACTTATTCATGACATATAATATACATTGTTGGTTATGAAAAAACATATAAACAAAATTATATACCAGTGCCTTGAGCATGCACTAGTGCGTGGATATGTTCGCTATATAAATATCCTATATTAATAATAATAATAATAATAATATATTGGAAACAAACTGCCTGTTTAATGCAATATATAACTATACTGAGAGACCATAGCACCTATCCCCATTGTGCAAAAGTGTTAGCATTTCAGGAGATGGGGCATACAATATGGAACAAACTTTGTTGATAACAACTCCATTTATTTCGCGAGTGCGATGTTTCGATACAGATTCTTGTATAGAAACTTTGCACTTGTCATCATCATCATTCGATATTTATATAGCGCACATATCCATGCACTAGTGCATGCTCAAGGCGCTGGTGTTTTTTCCCTCGATCATTGGATGTCAATCTCAACAGCACATCTTATCATAAATCTCAACTCCCTGGGGATCATACAACTCTTGCTGCCACTAGGCGCACCAAGTTATAGCGGCTTTCCCATCCTTACGAGGTACCCATTCACAGCTGGGTGGACTGCAAGTTTACTGCACGTTGCTCTACCCACAACTAGGTGTTTGCACGTATTCATGTGGCCACCATCTGGTCACATACCAACGGATTTGTGGGTTCTGTACTGTACACTAGGGGTTCTGACAACACTGATAGAGTCTGCACACAAAGTTGACTCCAAGGTTTGTACACCCGGTCACAGGTGGGCTCGATCCCGGCACCTCATGCCCGCTGGATCACTAGCCTGGCACCTGAGCCAGCTCGCCCACCACGCCCCCGTACTCACGAACTAAAAGAAGCTGTTATCCATAAAGTTGGTTCAATATTGTTGTTTTGGTCATGTGACCAGGTGCCAGATATACTTCTTCCGTTTAGTGCAGACTATGCACTGAATCATCAAAACACATGTATACTAAGGGTTCAACTATATTGTTATTGTCTTTGAAAGTATGCCTAAGTTTATATAAATATCAACTTACTGCAGAGTGACGTTCTTGACAGCGGCCACCACCTCTACATCCTCACCATCAATGTTGTCTGCAAACCTTAACGTGAAGTGGTCGTCTACGGAGGGCAACTGCAATTCAGTGATATACAATGTGATGTAGAATGCTGATCAAATTTCACACATTCGCACACACATGCATGGATGTAGACACACAGAATTTAAGTTATATTACAGCCATAAGCAGAACATTGGAAGATAGCACCTTCCAGAACATCAATTGTACCTTCCCTAGACTGTTGCTGGAACATCATTTGACCCAAGACTGTTGCCAGAACATCATTTGACCCTAGACTGTTGACAGAACATCATTTGACCCTAGACTGTTGCTGGAACATCATTTGACCCAAGACTGTTGCCAGAACATCATTTGACCCTAGACTGTTGACAGAACATCATTTGACCCTAGACTGTTGACAGAACATCATTTGACCCTAGACTGTTGCTGGAACATCATTTGACCCAAGACTGTTGCTGGAACATCATTTGACCCTAGACTGTTGCCAGAACATCATTTGACCCTAGACTGTTGACAGAACATCATTTGACCCTAGACTGTTGCTGGAACATCATTTGACCCTAGACTGTTGCCAGAACATCATTTGACCCTAGACTGTTGCTGGAACATCATTTGACCCAAGACTGTTGCTGAAACATCTTTTGACCCAAGACTGTTGACAGAACATCATTTGACCCTAGACTGTTGCTGGAACATCATTTGACCCTAGACTGTTGCTGGAACATCATTTGACCCTAGACTGTTGCTGGAACATCATTTGACCTTAGACTGTTGCTGGAACATTATTTGACCTTAGACTGTTGCTGGAACATTATTTGATCCTAGACTTTTGCCAGAACATCACTTAACCCTAGACTGTTGCCAGAACATCACTTAAGCCTAGACTGTTGCCAGAACATCATTTGACCCTAGACTGTAGCTCGTACATCATTTGACCCAAGACTGTTGCCAGAACATCATTTGACCCAAGACTGTTGCCAGAACATCATTTGACCCTAGACTGTTGCTGGAACATCATTTGACCCTAGACTGTTGCTGGAACATCATTTGACCCAAGACTGTTGCCAGAACATCATTTGACCCAAGACTGTTGCCAGAACATCATTTGACCCAAGACTGTTGCTGGAACATCATTTGACCCTAGACTGTTGCCAGAACATCATTTGACCCTAGACTGTTGCTGGAACATCATTTGACCCAAGACTGTTGCTGAAACATCTTTTGACCCAAGACTGTTGACAGAACATCATTTGACCCTAGACTGTTGCTGGAACATCATTTGACCCTAGACTGTTGCTGGAACATCATTTGACCCTAGACTGTTGCTGGAACATCATTTGACCCTAGACTGTTGCTGGAACATCATTTGACCCTAGACTGCTGGAACATCATGACCCTAGACTGTTGCCAGACATCATTTGACCCCTAGACTGTTGCCAGAACATCATTTGACCCTAGACTGTTGCTGGAACATCATTTGACCCTAGACTGTTGCTGGAACATCATTTGACCCTAGACTGTTGCTGGAACATCATTTGACCCTAGACTGTTGCCAGAACATCATTTGACCCTAGACTGTTGCCAGAACATCATTTGACCCTAGACTGTTGCTGGAACATCATTTGACCCTAGACTGTTGCTGGAACATCATTTGACCCTAGACTGTTGCTGGAACATCATTTGACCCAAGACTGTTGCTGAAACATCATTTGACCCTACACTGTTGCTGGAACATCATTTGACCCTAGACTGTTGACAGAACATCATTTGACCCTAGACTGTTGCTGGAACATCATTTGACCCTAGACTGTTGCTGAAACATCATTTGACCCAAGACTGTTGACAGAACATCATTTGACCCTAGACTGTTGCTGGAACATCATTTGACCCAAGACTGTTGCTGGAACATCATTTGACCCTAGACTGTTGCTGGAACATCATTTGACCCTAGACTGTTGACAGAACATCATTTGACCCTAGACTGTTGCTCGAACATCACTTAGACCCTAACTGTTGCCAGAACAACATTTGACCCTAGACTGTTGCTGGAACATCATTTGATCCTAGACTTTTTCTGAAACATCATTTTGACCTTAGACTGTTGCCAGAACATCACTTGACCCTAGACTGTTGCTGGAACATCATTTGAGCCTAGACTGTTGACAGAACATCATTTGACCCTAGACTGTTGCTCGTACATCACTTAACCCTAGACTGTTGACAGAACATTACCTGTAACTACCCTAGACTTTTGCCAGAACATCACTTAAGCCTAGACTGTAGCCAGAACATCATTTGACCCTAGACTGTTGCTCGTACATCACTTAACCCTAGACTGTTGACAGAACATTACCTGTAACTACCCTAGACATTTGCCAGAACATCACTTGAGCCTAGACTGTTGCCAGAACATCATTTGACCCTAGACTGTCGCTCGTACATCACTTAACCCTAGACTGTTGACAGAACATTACCTGTAACTACCCTAGACTTTTGCCAGAACATCACTTGAGCCTAGACTGTTGCCAGAACATCATTTGACCCTAGACTGTTGCCAGACCATCGCTTGACCATAGGCTGTTGCCAGAACATCACTTGTACCTACCCTAGACTGTTGCCAGAACATCACTTGTACCTACCCTAGACTTGCCAGAACATCACTTGTACCTACCCTAGACTGTTGCCTGAGCGGAACTCTCCCTGAAGGGGGGAGGCCGGGGTCGCCAGTGACGTCCTCTAGTACCCCGTCCTCTTTCAGTCCTTCACTTGCATCCCGACTATCAGAATCATGGTCTGGGGAATTGGCCATGTTCAGCCCCGAGTCTAGACTCTGGCTGTGTCGGATGAAGCCCTCCTGTAGACAATGACAAATACCTGATAGTTGCACCAAATAGCATAGTATGAGGTTTTGAGAGTAGTGAGGTAGTGGTTAGAAGCACAGGTTGTTCAACTGTGACAGAAATCGCTTCATGCGATCACAGTTATCTTTATAATATTGCTGTTGTACTGTCATATGTGCCGCCATTCATGTCTAATGCGATGCCAGGTGTCTAGTTTAAAGTCTGGTGTCTTCTTTTGTGTTCTCATTCATGGTATCATGCATGGTGTCTAGATTTATGCATGGTGTCTAGATTTATGCATGGTGTCTAGATTTATGCATGGTGTCTAGATTCATGCATGGTGTCTAGATTCATGCACAGTGTCCTATTTCATGCAAAATGTCAAATCTTATGCAGTATCCATTCCAATATCCAGTGTCCAATATCATGAATCTTGTCTTTTTTCATACATGATGTCCTTTTTCATGCATGGTGTTTCACACACAGTGTCCACTGTCCAGTACTATAAACTATGTCATGCATGTCTCATGTCAATGCATGGTGTCATTCACAGTATATCGTGTGTGGTTTTCATGCAGTGTCCCATATGGTTTATATGTGTGTGAGGTTCTAATTGAACCACCCAACATATATACAACACTTGTCTTCATTGACAACCTCTTCATTACAAGTATGCTATATTTGGAATGACACTTCCTCAGCATTGTGTCTTCATCCATCATTAAAATATATAAAATAAATATACCACAAATTAATTAACTAAACCACATGAATTAATATCGGTTGCTCAGAAAGAGATAAGAAATGATTTCGCAGACAGATGTGCCGAAGTCCACATTTTAGACGTCGACCCATCAGCCTGACACAGACTTACCACACACCAACATATGTTCAATATCCTTCAGTAAACTAAAAATATCCCATCTCCGTCATTGCAATAATCAATGATATCCGTAAAACACATATTACCTTACATGACCACGCCTTCATGAGATGGTGGCTAGTTCGTCAATATCATCTGAACACAGACACACATGACCAAGCATGTGATATGTACATGAGATACAACCGCCAGGATATAGGCAATGCTTAGACAACAGCTGTTCTACAGGTGATATGAACATTTATAACATGGAAATTGACATCCAGTAATGACCTACATTTACCGATCATTTTATCAGTTATATGGTGGTTCTAATAACATTTGTCTTTTTTTAATGAAATACCTAGCATAATGAATTTACTGGGAATGGTTTCATTACCCGTTTGTTTAACTTGGTCTGGGATGAGATCACATTTATTACCTGGGTAATCTGCCCTTATTACCCGACCCCACCCAAGTACTGAGAATAGGTTTAAAATTAGATGGAAAAGGTCATGACTAGGAATTGTTTTACCCAAGTCATGGCAAAAACTATTTTGTATTAGCAATATTTCAGAAATATGACAGTGGAGGGGACCAGAAATGAGCTTCGCACATTGTACCTATGTGGGGAATCAAAACCTGTGTCTTAGTGTGATGCACAAAAACTTTAACCACTGGACCACACCACACCCTCAAAACTATTTAGGTGCATGTTATGAATATATTTCATCTGATGTTACACCAAATCTGACTGTTATATCTTTACTGAAACATGTAAACTTCAGAAGGAAATACGGACATGTAGTGAGTGAGTATGTTTTTACACCACCTTTAGCAATATTCCAGCAATATCACGGCAGGGGACACCAGAAATGGGCTTCACACATTGTACCAATGGGGGGAATCAAACCCAGGTCTTCAGCGTGTCGATCGAGCGCTTTAACAACTAGGCTACCCCACCGCCCCATTAGGGACTTGTGGCGTAAGTATTGTATATAGTTATTGTTGCTATCAAACAATACTTCACATGACGAAATAGCAAGTCTGGTTAGTCTTATGGGTACCCCAGTCCTACCCAGGCCCCACCCTACCCAAAATACCCACCCCAGCCTATTTCAAACTCTGTTCCTATCATTCACGTTATAAATGATGTTTTCCCTGCTTCAAATCTACATCAATATGAGTGAGTTTAGGTTTATGTCGCTTTTAGCAATATTCCAGCAATATCATGGCGGGGGACACCAGAAATGGGCTTCATACATTGTACCCATGTGGAGGACTCGAACCCGGGTCTACAGCGTGAGGAGCAAATGTTTCAACCACTAGGCTACCCCACCGCTCCTACATCATGGACAACAGAACCCTGCTTACATTGTAACCCCAGTCTTATCTCTGAGAAAGGACACAAAGATTAGACTAATTCACATATTGTTCTCATGCCAAGAATGTCATCATAAAACTTAAACGATAGCATCACCAAAGATATTCTTCAATTTGAAATTAACAGATAAAATAAAAAACTTTATTAAGCTTACATTTTTCACTATACTCTTTTTCTTCACTGCCTTTTTCCTTTTTAACCTCCTTTCAATATCACCGGGGGATCTTGATCTGAAATTAAATTGCAACACATAATCTTGGGTAAGACACTGACAAGGTAAATATAGCCAGAATCTATCAGTAAGTATATACACGCTGTCCTCAGATGGCATGGATTCAGGAAAAGGTTTACATCCACACCTTGTATAAAGAAACATTTGTGTATCAACTCCAAACAACAAAGTGTAAAACAAGAGGCACGAAAATAGATATATAACAAAAATGTCATTTGACCCAGACAATTTCCTTCATAAAAATCTTGATAACTCTTTTGGGGGCCATTAAACATGTCAAGATACACTGGACTGAAACCACACAAGTTCGAATTTTTAATTAAGGTAAGAATTTTACAGAAAACATTCAATCCATTTAAGAACGAATTGAATCAAATGACATTTGAGCCGATATTAGCATCAACAAATATACCTTTATTACAGAGAGAGTAATTGTTCTCACTGTAATAAAATTGTTCATCCATATATGGTTATCCTTCCTCCAACTTCTAAATGTCTCTTGAAAAAGTTAAAAATATACCTGTTCTTAATATACATATTCAACTGCAGCCCCAACCATGTATAACAAGTCAATATTGATTGCAGACAGTTTCTGATCTGTCAGTGGTAAATTTTTAACTAAGTGATACATGATCCAACATCACAGTTTTGTACACCAGTCTTACTGTCTCAAATCTCAACTTTACAATAGGCCTTTGAACACTACAGCTTTAATCACAGCTTGGGATAATCCTTTTCCTCCTTAAGAGGATGCCCAAGCCTTGAGCAGGATGTTATACAAGCATGGGGGTGTTATCTACAGTACTGAGCATCCCTCCAGCAGGAACTTGCTATTGTAGTGATACATGAGATGTTGACATAACTGTACCACAGTGTACACTCCTTGATGGGGAGGCTGGGCCATTAATGGATGCTTACTGATCCTAATTAGGGAGGTGACAGAGATAATCTACCTCAAGGATTAATCTGTAATGAGGGGAAAAATACCCAAACATTCCATAAAACTTGAAATTGTCCTGTAAACAGTTGTATAAGTAAACAAAGAGAAATCATCCTACATTCAATTGGAAACAGTTTTCATTGCTGTGATCAACACACCTCAATAATCAGTAGTTTGGACTCATACCAGATGAAGCAGTCATATAATATTACATTTTTCCTTGTCAGAGGGCTGTGCAAGCATTTGACACAGAGGCTGGTTGGCTGTTTAACTCCGCACTCAGCAATATTTCAGCTACATAGCATGGGTAATAATTGAGTCTGGACCAGACAATCCAGAGATCAACAGCATGAGCATTGAATCTATGTAATTGGGATACGATGACATGTGTCAAGTAAATCACTGACCCTGACCACCCGATTGATCTTCAGTAACCCATTCTTTCGTAAGAGGCAACTAACAGGATCGGGTGGTCAGGCTCGCTGACTTGGTTGACACATGTCATCGGTTCCCAACTGCTCAGATAGATGCTCATGCTGTTGATCACTGGATTGTCTGGTCCAGACTCAATTATCTACAGACCGCTGCCATATAGCTGGAATATTGCTGAGTGCGGCATAAAACTAAACTCACTCACTACTCACTGAGTTAGGAAATTGACACTGTTAGCAATGTTTCAGCGATATCATAACAGGGGATGCCATATATGGACATCACACATTGTACCCATGACTGGATTTGAACCTTCAGTGATGAGTTAACAGTTTAACCAGTAGGCTACCCTACCGTCCCTACATACACAATAATGTCATCATAATCAAATCTCATTTCGTAATACATTGCTGAAATTGTTCTCTTGTCATTCATTTCAAGTTAAAGATGATCATTTATTTTTAGAGTGTTTCAATATGTTTGTGTGTCAGTAGAAATACCTTTTCCCCTTCTCACTGTTCTTGATGTAGATACCATCTACAGTATCCTCCTCCCCCTCAGACTCCTCCCCAGCCTCACTGTTGCTATGGTTACCAGACTCGGGGGATGAGATGTGGGATAAAATGGGTTTACCTGAAAAAAATAAACAGACATCTTTAATGAACACAGTTTGACACAGTTTATTGCAATATCCAACCAACATCATAGGAAATACGTGGGATGCATAACATCATCTTACACATCTAACCCACTAACCCAATGGGAACCGAACCCAAGACTACGGCGTGATAAGCAAACACTATAATATCTAACCACTTGGCTAACAAACCTCTTTCCCAAATACAGGAAATACGTTTCTCAGTGTGGTTCAGAATAAATATCCAACCAACATCATCAAGCAGAACACATAACATGAGTCTGACCCATCTAGCCCACTTGGAAACCAAACTCAAGACTACGGCGTGATAAGCAAACACTATGATATCTAACCACTCAACTAACAAACCTTCTCAAATACAGGAAATACGTTTCTCAGTGTGGTTCAGAATAAATATCCAACCAACATCATCAAGCAGAACACATAACATGAGTCTGACCCATCTAGCCCACTTGGAAACCAAACTCAAGACTACGGCGTGATAAGCAAACACTATAATATCTAACCACTCAACTAACAAACCTCTTTCCCAAATACAGGAAGTACCTTTCTGAGTGTGGTTCAGAATAAAAGTGAACTGTTATTGATTAAAAGTACATATGTATCATGTAAATTCACAGAGAAATATTTTCATAATGACATTATGAAAACAGACACACCCAAGAGATGTGATTCAACAATACTCTATTTAAGTCCTTGTAATGGACAGCAATCACACCTTGCAACAGGTGCTGACAACATTATGTATTACTGACAACTGAATGAACCTAATAAACCACTCAGGTATGCAAACAGTAGCAAAAGCATTGGTGGATGCCATTGGCTAATGATATTGTCACTACACACTCATCAACCTGAAAACCATGAAAATTTATGGATGCCAATGTCTGTAATATTCTATGAATGCCATCCAAAGACTTTCAGGAAATATGATGGTTCTGTAGACCAGTGGTGCTTTGGAATCACAGACTGTGATGTAACAGTGAGTCACGATGATGTATCACCATAACAATGTTATGTCATAACATCAACAATGACTTATGGATATAGCTGATTGAGTGAGTGAGTAAGAGCAATATTCCAGCAATATCACGGCGGGAAACACCAGAAATGGGCTTCATGCATTGAACCCATGTGGGGAATCAAACCCAGGTCTTCAGTGGAAAGTAGCGCAATATTCCAGCAACACTTTATCCACTTCAGTAGGTTTATCCACTGCAGCCCTTACAGCAATTAAATTCCGCAATTTACTATATCACACCTAAATTAGAAGACAAATTTGGATTTGACAAGAATTATTGCCACGATTCTACCAAGTAATACACAAATGCATTTGAATATATTCTAGCGACTGAAATCTGTACAAAGTTGATTGATGTATTCTAAATGATACATCCAACTTTGTGGCACTACTTGTGAAGATAGAATTCATTATGTATGTCCAAATTAGGTACATTATCAGAAATAATGGTTTATCATTCAGATAGATACTGTTTTAGGGCAGTAATAATTTATATGGAAATGTTGAAAATCAGTATATGAAAACTAGGAAGTGATTCAATCAGAGCACCATTACTTCTGGCGGTATGGCATATCAAATGAAATAGTTATGGTATACATGTATAACAATATATATCTTACAATGTTTAATATTGCACTGTTAGTGATCATTATCAAATGGCAGCTTACAAGTTATCACATATGTAAAATCTGTTCCAGAGTATTATATTTTTAAGATAAGCCATTGGCTAGTTTGTCCATTTATTCTGAAATTTAAAAAATAATAATTGATATATAAAAAAAAAACCACTTACGTCTTTTGGGAGCATCAAGAACAAGATGACCTGCAAACTCTGGCTTTTTATGAATGTCAAGGTCACACTGTCGACACAGCAACAGCGGCCGGTCTCGGTTTTCTTCCGTACACTGGGGATGATGACACACCTACAATAGACAAACACTCAGATAAGTCCTGTAGCTAAATCTAAAGTAGATCTATACTGGATCATCCCATGTTGGACAGCTCACATGCCTGTATTAAGAAAAAAAGAAATATCACTGAAATTAAAATGTGTGTAACAAAAGAGTCATAATTAAAAGAAATAAATGGCAGATTTATAATTAGTTAAAAAATGAGGTGGTATGTTTATTACACTAAATCATTATTTAGAAATTATTATGTTTTATTTTTGGTACAAGTGGTAGTGATTTAAACAGTACTACCCTTATGTGTATCACTTCTTAATTCCATTTAAAGATTCCATGAACTTGTTCAGTGAAATGGCAGACAGACAGACAGACAGGTTTTATTCAGTAATGTAGGCACAGTGGCCCATAGTACAGTTGAATTTTCATTTTAACAAATATTGGTCACGTGACACGAAATTATGGTTTTACATGTGATTTAAGGATGGACATCAAATGTTTTATGAAAATGGCAGCTGATTTAATAGTGTCATCGTTATTAGAATTAAGTATTTTATATATCGTTTGTGGGGCATCATTAAAGCATTTTAGATACTTCTTTCTGCCAGCAGAGAATGCCTCACAGTCTAATAATAAGTGGCGTTAGGTCTTCAGTTTACCAGAAGAACAATGAGAACATGATAAATCTTCAATGTATTTTTATCTTTTTTCTATAGCTGTATTTTTTAAGGCATGTAGAGATTCTAAATTTACAAAATTTCTTAAAAGGGACTTATCATTAAGGACCCTAATATATTTTTCACCATAACAATGTTATGTTAGAAAACTTCGATAACATCAACAATGATATATCTTTTATGGAAAGTAGCAAAAACATGAGTGACCAACATCTTACTTAAACCAAACATAAAGAAAACCGGCAGTGAATAACACATTTCGGACACCAGAAGCAATATTCCAGCAGGGATAATAATAATTGATAGCTTTGATAGGGAATTAGCGACAGGCCATAAGTTTAAATGGATAGCTTCATGCAATATGAACCCTGTATGCCAGAATGGAATCAAACCTACAGTAAGTCTTTTAGTGGGGCACATTTTCTATAGCTTGAAATAGTTTATCAACAGATCCAGGTTTTTTAGTGTCAAAAAGTAAGCAAGCTGCAGCCCTTAAACAGCAAAAATAAATTCCTTCTTAGCTTTGCTATTTAGATCCATGGACCAATTTAATCCTGGAAAATAGAAGACCAAATATTTGGAAACAACATTTGATACTTTGCCCAAATTTTTCATTGCCACTATTCTACAACTATGTTAGATATATTCAACTCTAATGTGTCACAAATTTGAATATATTCTAGCAACTGAAATCTGTATCATCTGCAAAGTTGATTTGGGGGATGTATTCCATAAATGATAGAATTAGTTCATGTGGCAACTTTGTGCATTAATAAAAGAAGATGAAAGAGTAATGGGCTTATTACACAGCTATTTGTGAAGAACCAGATAGAATTCATTATATGTCCAAATTAGGTATGTTATCAGAAATAATGGTTTATCATTCAGATAGATACTGTTTTAGGGCAGTAAAGCACAATTTATATGGAAATGTTGAAAAATCAGTATATGAAAAATTATCAGGAAATGGATCTAATTCAATCAGAGCACCATTACTTCTGGCGGCATATGCGCATATCAAATGAAATAGTTACGGTATACATGTATAACAATATATATCTTACCAATGTTTAATATTGCACTGTTAGTGATCATTATCAAATGGCAGCTTACACTATTATCACATATTTAAAAATCTGTTCCAGAGCATTATATTTTTAAGATAAGCCATTGGCTAGTTTTTCCATTTATTCTGAATTTTTTAAAATCTTCGGTTGATATATAAAAACAACACTTACGTCTTTTGGGACAGCATCAAGAACAAGATGACCCTGATTTAACTCTGGCTTTTTATGAATGTCAAGGTCACACTGTTGACACAGCAACAGTGGCCGGTCTCGGTTTTCTTCCGTACACTGGGGATGATGACACACCTACAATAAACCAACACTCAGATAAGTCATACAGCTAAATCTAAAGTAGATCTATACCGGATCATCCCATGTTGGACAGCTCACATGCCTGTATTAAGAAAAAAAGAAATATCACTGAAATTAAAATGTGTGTAACAAAAGAGTCATAATTAATAGAAATAAATGGCAGATTTATAATGAGGTGGTATGTTTTTTACACTATAGCTAAATCATTTTTCAGAAATTATTATGTTTTATTTTGGGTACAAGTGGTAGTGATTTAAACAGTACTACCCTTATGTGTATCACTTCTAAATTCCATTTAAAGATTCCATGAACTTGTTCAGTGAAATGGTGGTCACTACTGAGGCAGGGATGGAACTCCTTAATCAATTCATTATTACTTTAAGAAATTTATTCATATGCAATGGGTCCCATAGATAACTTAAGTTGGTTGTTTTGTTGCTTACCGCTGCACTTAGCAATATTCTATATGCTGGTAGTCTGTAAATAATTGAGACTGGACCAGACAATCCAGTGGTCAACAGCATGAGCATCGATCTACACAACTGGGATACAATGACATGTATCAACCAGGTCAGCAAGCCTGACCACCCGATCCCATTAGTCGCCTCTTACGACAAGCATGGGTTGCTACGGACCCGTTAAATTCTAGCACCGCACCGTGTGATACTCGAGAAATTCTAGCACGACACTGTATGATACTCGATTCTGATTGGCTGAGAGCTCGTTTTTTAAATAACATTTAGCTGTCTTAAATCAATGATAAAGGGCCTCAAAATTGAAAACAGAGTATCTTTATCTTCTAATTCTTACCCGGACCCATAGATACAGACAGTTATTAAGCTACTGAGGAAGACTGTGGTATAATGTTGTACACAGGTTAGAAATATTTATCATCATGGGACGTACTTTCATTTGAGGTAAAATACAAACACTGTATAAAATATAATAATAATCACATCAGTATCAATACAACTGGATTATTTTTATTAGTATTATTGTTATGTAAATATTACCGATATGAATAGTGAGTGAGTGAGTGAGTTTAGTTTTACGCCGCTTTTAGCAATATTCCAGCAATATCACGGCGGGGGACACCAGAAATGGGCTTAACACATTGTGCCCATGTGGGGAATCGAACCCGGGTCTTCGGCGTGACGAGCCAACGCTTTAACCACTAGGCTACCCCACCGCCCCCCGATATGAATCAGTGATGATATCTGATCGTATCCCATGCCACAGATAAACGAGGAATGATAACATTTGACATAAACAACGAATATAATGTACAACTACAGCCATTGAAGGGCAGTACTGGGGTACTAGTATATGATACAGAACTTCACCATATATGTTAACAAAAAAGTTACAAAACCTTGGCATCAACGTAAAATCTTGACTGTACGGCATTTTGTCTCTTCAGCTGTCTTATACTAGGCATAGTGAGGTATCCACAGCAGGAAGTGACAGCTATCAAGGGCAGTGATCATTGTTTATCTTAATCTACTGTGAGATTCTGGTCAAGCTGAACAAAGGGAGACAACTCATACTGACAAAGTCCGCGGCTTGGACTTATCCAGTTATGTCACTGTGCTCGTTTATCTCTGTCACAGATATGTGTGAGATGGTATGTGTGATCATACATCTCTCTTGCATAAATCAAGGGCATTTACTGTGGCTCGCTCTATCCCATTACTTGTCAGTCCATGGCTCATACAAAAAATATGATCCTACAAATTTAAGGCCTATAGAAGGGATTGATCTCCTTTTTCATACTTTCAAGTGTCCCCCATCATTATATTACTGGAATATTTGCTCAGAGAGCCATAAAACTCACTCATCCTCATCCGATCGACCCACTCACCCATCGACCCACTCACTCACCCACCAACGCACTCACTCACCAACCCTCTCATTCACAGACCCAAATTTCACTCTCACTCACTCACCCACCCACCCACCTATCTGCCTACCAACCCACTCACTCACCTACTCACTCACCCACTCATTCATAGACCCAAAATCTCACTCACTAACTCACTCACCCATCCACCCACCACCAGTACCTCTTTCAGTACTCAGTTAAAACTGCACTCTCAACAACTTTTAAACTAATCAATTTCACCATCTAAGCATCTGCCAACTCAAGCCTTATCCCTGGAATCAATTTCACAATAACCATACCCACTACCCCCTGATACCGAGACCTGGAGCTAATGACACGGTCTGGACCCCTCCCTGTCCCCGACTGACAGACAAATGATGGGGGAGCCTTCATCTCTATAACACACTTCTGTATCCAGATACTGAGTGTTGTAACAGGATATATCTACACCTAACAACTACATTGTTTATTAACAGATATATTTCTTTTTGATGGCATATATTTCCCACAATGCCTCAGTAAGCTGGCCAGGTTAACGCCACAGAAATCGGATAGCCTTATAAACGCGACCTATTATACTAGTGAATTACCCATTGAATGGAGGGGGGAACACAAGCACCTGTAGACTAACGTATTCAAGTCTGTGAAATCTTATATTTTATGACACATTTATCGCCTCTGAAAAAATATATTCTTGAAACTATTGAACAGAGCTGGCGAGATTTGTATTTTTTGGTAATGTGTATTTGTTTTGTTGTGGATTCATTTAAAAATACAAACGTACATGTATTCCTAGTAATATGACCATGTAATGAGAGTATATTGTTCAGTTCAGGGATTATAGGTACACAAGATTTCATGTATTAATGTCACACTGAAAGTGTGAGGGCTTTTTCAAATATTTTTTTTGAACAGCATATTGAGGCCACAGTACATTTTTATAATCCCAAAGTACCTTCAGGCAACAATTTCTTTCTTTCTGAGTAAATTACATGGAGATTTACTGTCTTTACAATTCCTACTCAAACTTAATTGGCAGAAATACTGCTGATGTGACCTACTCTAAACTTGCTACAAAAGCTGCTATGCTTACTAAACTTGCCGTGGAAAGGCTTACTATGCTTGTCGTGAAGAGGCTTAAGCTTGTCGTGAAGATGCTTGTCGAAAGAGGCGACTAACGGGATCGGGTGGTCAGGCTCGCTGACTTGGTTGACACATGTCATTGGTTCCCAATTGCGCAGATCGATGCTCATGCTGTTGATCACTGGATTATCTGGTCCAGACTCGATTATTTACAGACCGCCGCCATATAGCTGGAATATTGTTGAGTGCGGCGTAAAACTAAACTCACTCACTTCAACAGATCCGCACAGAGACCGACAGCAACAGCTACAAAAAAGGGAATCAACCACATCTGTGTGTGATACATCTGACACTTCAACCACTAGGCTACCACAGCACATTCAGTCACAGAAACATGTTACACCTAAACACCTCTTCTCAGAAGCCTATCCCTCCAAGACTTTGAGATGCGCCACTGAACACCTTTGAGTTGGATACCAAGCACCATAGAAACCATTATTATTTCTATTGTTATATTATTATTACTATACCAAATCCTCTGTAGTGATACCCCTTTTTGAAACACACATGGATCTTAACACTTGTACAAGAAGAACATGTTTTCCTGCCCAACTGTATGTACATGCACCTACTATCATTTCAAACAGGTCACTTTCAACATGATCCTTAAAAATAACAGCAAAAAACAAACTTCCAATTTCAATTTCCAATATGACTCTAAACAGAAAAAAGCCTTCTGATATTCAATAACTTCTGTTTACAATATTAAATTTATTAATTAAACATAAAAATTCAATTTCCTTAGTCGACACAACTGAATTCTGTCAATATTGGCTCAGTCACTGTATAGATGTAACAAGCTGCAGTTCACTTCCAAACGATGAAAAGATGATGGAGGGGCCTCACAATGTCCGAGGGTTGGATGTCAACAATGGTCTGTAAGCAAGATCTTGTGGCCTATTCAGACCCATAATCCCTGTGATGCTGCGGGGATTTGCCTACAAACTGTCAGCGCCAAGGGCCGTTACTGGAACACCTTGTGTTGACACTATCAACCAACTTCACAAACAATTGTGAACTGCCGGCTTGTGTTAGTCTACGTGAAGCTCCTAGAGGAATATGAGTGCAGACATTGAATATACTTTCTTCAAGACGAAGAATGCAAACAACTTCAGATGAAAAGCAAAGAGACCTTTAAAGTGTTTCATATTAGAAAGTTAAAATGCTGCATTCAACTGCGTGGTCAGTGAAGGTTTCTAATCAGGGCTCATCGTGTATGATTCTACTTCAGGAATCAACACGTCCTCATGGTATCAGTGAGTGAGTGAGTGAGTGAGTGAGTGAGTGAGTGAGTGAGTGAGTGAGTGAGTGAGTGAGTGAGTGAGTGAGTGAGTGAGTGAGTGAGTGAGTGAGTGAGTGAGTGAGTGAGTGAGTGAGTGAGTGAGTGAGTGAGTGAGTGAGTGAGTGAGTGAGTGAGCTAGCGAGTGCCCCTTTAAGCAATATTCCAGCAATATCACGACGGGAACACCAGAAATGGGCTTCACATATTTAAAATAAACATTTCAATGAGGCCTTTTCATGAACTAGGTCAATTTTTAAACAGCTAACTGACAATAAACATTTCAATGAACACTTTCCATGAAGTAGGTCATTTCTTAAATAGTTGATAGAAACTAAACATTTGAATGAAACTGTTTCATGAACTAGGCAATGTCTTAAATAGTTAATTGAAAACAGACATTTCAATGAAGCTGTTTCATGAACTAGGTAATTTTTTAAATAGTTAATTGAAAATAAACATTTCAATGAAGCTGTTACCATAGTGTCATGCAATACAAACAACCATGTTTAGATCTTACATTTAAAAACCCATAAAACGCACCAGAGCTGAATGAATTCAAATGTGAGCACAATCCATTATCATCTGAGCACAATATGAATGCTTCTAAGCTGAGGTGTAAGAGGAGGACACGATAATGACACAATTATTCCACCCTATTTCTGAACACTGAGAATAAAAAATTTTGTA